CAGTAAACCCGAATGGATCAGTTGGCCCCAATGCACCAGTAGACCCCGCGTCGCCTGTAGATCCTAGTGCTCCAGTGAATCCGAGTGCTCCAGTTGGCCCCAAAGCACCAGTAGACCAGGCGTCGCCTCTGCCAGTCGGTCCAAATGGAACTGTTCACCCTAAGCCACCAATTGATTCAAATGCGCCAGTGAATGGCATTGTTGGGGCGCCTACACCCGCTATAAGCTCGAGTAGGCCAGTTGTTCCAGACACACCAGTCAATCCCAATTCACAAGCGCATGCCAACAGGCCATTTAATCCCAATGCTTCAGTCGGCCCCAGCGCTCCATTTAATCCCAATGCCCCAGTTTCTTCGAACGCACCAGTCCATTCACATGTAAAAAATATTCCAATGCTTCCGAGGTTACCTGAACATGCTGACCGTTCCGTTTGGTCACATTTTTCCGCTCATAATTATGCTGATAACTCCAGTGATAGAAGAGATGAAAGTTGGTGGCGACGTGTTTTCGCTAATTTACCAGGACATGCCAATCTACCAAAAGGAGGAAACGAAAGACATAATGGATGGCAGCTTTTGCCCAACCGCCAAGTGCAACCTGTTCGGCCTGGTTGGCCTGTGTGGCCTGCCAAATCTCACCCGTCAAACCAGGAGTCAGGAGATAGCCAGTCCACTGAATTAGGCTCTGACAAAAATTTGCCGAAAGCAGGCGAATCCATGGAAGAAAAGCCCAAGTCCAATAGTAGAGGAATAAAATCAAAGGACAACAAAGATCCTAAGGAACAAAAAGAGGAGAGTTCGGGTGAAAACAAATCAATAAGTACCAAAATAGAATCAGAGGACAGCAAGGATTCAAAAGAAAAAAATGAGCAGACTTCGACGGAAAAGAAATCGGAGAAGGGCAAAAAAGATTTAGAGGAGAGTAAAGATTCTGAAGATGTAAAGGAAAAGTCCGATAGCAACCAAGATGAGGAAAACGACGATAGCAACTCCAAAGAGCAAAAGGAACTAATTAAAAAAGTCCTGAAGAAGCTTAAGGACAACAAATGTGACGAAGATGACATTTACCCAGATCCCAGAGATTGTAACAAGTTCTATCTGTGTGTCGAAAAGTCGGATAAGACTAAGCTCTCGCATCTACGGTGCGATAGTGAGGAACGGTTTGACTCCGAAAAGCTGAAATGTGTAAATAAGCATAAGGCAAAGTGCTTGACTAAGCAAGAATTTATCGAAGAGTTTGCGTGATTCCAAACTTTTGAAGTTGCAAAATGGGGAGATATAAGCCCTCAACAAATAATTATAAGAAGAAAGATAAATAATCGGTTTTTTTTCAAAACCTTTAAACTTGCATTAGGAAAGCGAAATTGTGCAATCCTATTTGTTTACCCATGCATGTAGATGTGAGAATTTCACAAACTGCAGTCGTAAAGGCTTGCCAGATAAAGATTTTAAATACAAACTCAGTCGAGCCGATGATTTAATTTTCGCTTATTTACTAAAATACTGTCACATCTCAAAGACGCTTATTTTCTGGAGAGTCATTTAAGGTTTTCGATTGACACTATTATGCACTATTATGGAAATGCATATTTGCTTCATACGCGGAAAATAGTCAAGAGTTCTATCACTAAATTGTTACAGTATGTACATATATGAATCTTGATATAAGAAGTAATTCTGCATAATTTGTTCAAACCCCGTTTTTTGTGCTATGGCAGTCTTTTAGTAAATCGGCGTCTTGTTTTGTTTATTTTTATTACTATTACTAATTTTATATTATGTGGTACGTTTTTTTTTGTCATGCGTGCAGATGCTTAGCAATACCGTCCGAATTTAAGGATGTCATTTGCTCGGGGTGGGACACCACCCGCATCAATATCAGGCGCATGCAGAGTGAAAGCGGGGAAATTAACGTTTGAACCTATTTAAAATATTTTTCGTTCTCGCATTATTAAGTAGTTTTTACTGTCAACCACAATGTCACTTGTGCTTCCTTTTTCGTCAAATTTGGCGGCAGTCATACACATGTATGTACATTAGGGTAGTCCAAAAATACACGTGGAAAAGTAAAGTCGGAATTTTTATGCTCTCACCCCCTAGGATTGTTCTATACCGAAAAAAATTTATCCCAATTTTTTTATTTCAAAATTAAAAAATATTTAGAGGTCGCTCAAAGCGGCCAAAGTTTTCCATGTATAGAATTCTTAAAAATAAATATTTTTCTATGAGAGAACTCAATTTGTCTGCAGCAGATTCCCAATAATAATACTCAAATTTTTATTTAACCATTTTTTCATCGCAACTTTAATTTATAGGTCCGCCAATAACCCACAAAAACCCCGAAAAATTCAATGGGTGAACCAATAAAAAATCGTTAGTATTAAAAAATGGTTAAATCAACAATTGGGTCTTATTACTGAAAGTCTCCTGTAGGGAATAAGAGTTTTCCGATCGAAAAATATTGGTTTTCAAGAATTCTATACCATTTCAACGAAAAGTGGTTTTTTCCCCATATAAAAATACATGGAAAACTTTGAGCGCTTTGAGCGGCCTCTAAATATTTTTTGATTTTGAAATAAAAAAATTGGGATAAATTTTTTTCGGTATAGAACAATCCTAGGGGGTGAGAGCATTACAATTCCGAGTTTACTGTTTTGGGCCACCCTAATGTACATACAAACATACATACATACATCCTGCGTAAGGTTGTGTGTGCCGACGCCTGAAACAGCTTTAATTGCAATGCAACATTGTACTATTTGCGCGGTAAATTTGCTTTTGCCATTCTGGGACGATGTGAATTAATGCCTGATTTTCATAAGGCTTTTTTGCTATTCGTTGCCATGTATTGCATGTACATACGTATCGATGTCTCGATGCTGATGAGTACCAAAAGCGGCAATGGGCAGTTGGGACCAGCGTTACCGCTTTGGTAATTTTTAACCAAATTTGGTAATTTTTTTCTTTATTTATCAAGTTTGATAATTTGGTAATTTATTTTTCAATTTGGTAACTTTTTCGATTCGGTCTTACATGGTTCTGATTCCACATTAGTAAGTGGCCCGTAAGCGTTTCCTTTTATAGAAATACCTGGTAATCCTGAAAGTTTCGCAATGTGAAAATTGTTCCAGCGTTCCTTGGCTACTAGAATGGTGGTATCTTTAACAAACTGCTTGAAAGTGGCTATTGCTAAGTATATCCACCGTGCTCTTTCCTGGAAGGTTTTGGGTGGTTGTTGTTATTGTAACAGCATACATATTCCCCAAAGAGATTTTGGGGAGTGTTGCTGGAGTGACAGTCCTTGGCCAGATATAAATCTGGGTTGTTCCTGTTACGTAGACCCGACTGTCGTGGGAACCTACCTTTCCCTGTCAGTTGCAATTACCATCAATTGTCCGGTGTACCCGGCAACCATATATATGAGTAGAATTCTACGAAAATATGTATGTTCTCGTTCAAAAAGCTACGGCATTCAGCGGGGGACTTCACTCTGTCTATGTGTGAGTCGAAAGCTTTCCTTCAAGCGTTGAATTTTTGATATATTTTCTTGTGACTTGTTTACATACAGTGGTCGAAAAAATTATAGCCGCACCATATTTTGACAAGTTTTAACATATTATTAAAAATTACCAAACTTATTTTATGTGCAGAACTGTACAAATATACATGTCGAGCCCTAACTGCCAAAATAACGTAATTACGTATGTTTGTGCACATTAGTTCTGCACATAAAATTAATTTGATAATTTTTTGTTGAATTTGGTAACTTTTTTCGGTGATTTTGGTAAAAAATAAAAAAATTGTGTGGCAACACTGGTTGGGACCCGATAGGTTTGGTCATTTAAAGGTTTGTTTGGCCTTTTACCTTTTGCACCAATCGCTGTTTTCGCTATCTTTACGGCGGATGTGGACACCGGACTGGTTGTTTGTATGTAGTTGCAGCTTTGTCTGCGGTTTGCCTGTTTCACCAATGCAATGTTCGTTTGTCTGTTTTTGATGTGGCCACTGATTGTGGTTTTTCTGCTTTTGAACATAAATCTCTTCATAAATGCAGTGAAATTGCAGCCAGGAGAATTAAACAAAAATATCGTCATCAAAAGAATGTTTCTCGAGCAGCCTGTAGGTGCTAGTTTACACGTGGAAGTATTAATTTAGCCCATTTGTATGTACATATGTGTGTATTTTCGTGGGTCAATTAATGACTTACATAGTTATAGCCAATTTATTTTTATTTAGCTGAAAAAAATTATATTGAAATTGCATATCTTTAACTGAGTTTCTAGGGCTGCCATAATCCTGAACCCATCGACCAGGATATACATATGTATTTGCATGGGTTTTTTGACAAATATTTTTTATTGAAAATATATTGAAGACGATATGAATGAATAGTCGACCCGCGAAGCAAATTAATGTCAAGCTGGCTTTGAACCATGTACACCACTTCGAGGTGTAATTAAGAAAGCATCGAATAAAAATGCGAAAACCCTTTTTGAAATTGTATGTATGTACGTATGTATAATAAATACTTTCCCGAGCGTTGTATCCACCGTCGTTTAGTACAGGAAAAGCGTCGATTATACAACGATTATACGACTTTTTTTTGGTTTTGAGCACATGGTTGTCGTAAAAAAGAGAAAAGTCAGATTTCTTGATTTTTTTTCCAACATAAATATTAACGAATTGCATAGATGGTGAGCTAAAATGACGGTTTTTTGCAAAAGATCATCTACATTTTACATTAAACGTAATAATTAACCTTTAGAATCGTATGAGAGGAACCGGCCTCTTAATGCAATGTTGTGTTCCAGAAACTTTCATTGTTGTGGATCCAGAAACTTTCAATGTTGTGTTCCGACACCAAAGCAAAGCTTTGAAAAGCTCCTATAAAAAAGCATAGTGAATAGGGCGAGGTAGATGACATCTAGATGTCGCCCTATGTACTACGTTTGCTACACCGGAAATAGACGTCACGCCATTTCTTTAAATAAAACTAATTGGTGCTCGTTTGTATGTACATACATATGTAAATGCATGTGTGTGCACCTTTCTATTAATATCGTTGAATTATTTTAATATCTATTGCAAAATTTTATTCAGACAGGACTAAAAAGTAGAAAATAAATAATATAAAAAAAACTTTTTAATATACCACGCTTTTATAAATGGACTAAAAAAGTAGAAAATAATATTTCTCAGTCCCATAGAATATGTTTTGATAACTTTTGATTTTGAAATTTTAGCAAGAGTCATTATAAACAATCTATGAAATTGAAAATGAAAAGCGTGGGGCGCATGTAATACACTTGAATTGATATGGAAAGTAATATATGTATGTATGTATGTGGGTATATGAATAACGACCGCTTAAAATCGATTTCAAAGTTCTACTTTCGCTGTAGAAATTTTAGGTCTACGTTATGTAGTTTGACTATTGTCAATTAAATCGAATGCTTTGTATTGCATGCGCTCCACGTTTTTCATTTTCAATTTCATAGATTGTTTATAATGACTTTTGCTAAAATTTCAAAATCACAAGTTATCAAAACAAATTCTATGGGACTGAGAAATATTATTTTCTACTTTTTAGTCCATTTATAAAAGCGTTGTATATTAAAAAGTTTTTTTATATTATTTATTTTAACTTATATGTAAACATTAGCCGCCATCGAGTAGTTAGCGAGTAGCGAAACGAGCGAAATCAATGAGTTAGTAGGTATCCAAACTAACTCGCCATAGTCCATCGCTACTAGCTAACGCTGTTGTTGCCTTCACATAAAAAAAATTTGGTAAAGCGAGCGGAACTGAAACATAGCGAGCAGAGAAGTGGCGACTCGAAGGCGACTATTAATATACAGACGTGTGTAACCAGGCGTGTGTAAAATCTGACAACCTGTTGTAACGGTTTTTATGCCATACGAGCACTTTAATTTTTAATTGATTTTGCTTGAATCGTTGCCTATTTTGTTGTGGTGTCTTTTTTTTTTTAGGTCGAGCTTTAGTTTACGACGTCGATGAGACGATAAGGCAAAAATAATCTGCGGAGTAATTTCCGCCAGAACGGATATTTAAATGTCATTTTGTTTTCCATCCGCAAATAGCACCCAAACATCAAGCACTCTACATTTGCTTGTTCGCAGCGGATTGCTGGCAAAACGACTTTGCTAACGGTTTGGTTGCGTCTGTATGCGCTTGTGACTGTGACTGTGACTGTAAGTGACAGTTTTCTTATCTGGAAAGGCACAGAGAAAGCAGTGACAGTGAAATAATGAACGCGGCTTTGAAACTTGAACTTGAAAGGGACGTTTTTCACAAGAAAATTTTTTCAAAACGAAGAGTTCGTTCCGCTACTGAGCTCGTGCTGTAATTCATTGTTAAACATTTGCTAGCTGTGTCTTCATGTTGTCCTTAAGTGTGATATGTATTTCCTAAATATTTCACTTAAGGTTAAGCGAGGCAAAAGGTGAACTTAACTTAAAAA